TTTTTTTTTTTTTTTTTTTTGAGTGGTGATCTTATGGGCCTTGAACTCCTAGGCTAGTGATGGCGAACTTCTTATCGCTTTCAATGATACAAATAGGCACTGTAGGTTCACCACCACTGTCCTAGGCTCAAGGAATCCCTTTTGTGGCCTCCTGAGTAGCTAGAACTACAGATACATGCCCCTGCACCCAGCTGATAAAAGTAATAAAAAACAATTTAAATTGCCTTTCATGTTAAAAGTCAAATGTCATTGCTCTCAACTCACAGGACTCTGCCCCTGCGAACACTGGCACGTGGCACAGGTGTGTGCCACCTCTCTCAGACCAGAGCAATCACTCAGGAGGTTCACTTTATGAACGACCACAGGCTTTCCTCAAGTGCTTCGGCTGGCACTGTGACATACCTGGTCTTGTTTCCCCCAGATGATAAGTGTTGGGACCTTGATCTTGTCCATGTTCTGATGCAGACTGTATCTAGACTTCTCACTGATGATTTCCAGAAACACTGCAGAAAAGGAAAACACAGTGAGTGTACGTGGGATTATGCCCTTGGGCACAAGGGATGAGTGGAGACACAGTCAAGTCCAGGGCACCACAGCCGTTCTTTGGCAGCTCAGGAAACATCCAAGTTGCAGAGGTTTCAGAAAGAAAAGACAGCCATAAAGCTTCACTAGTACCAAGCTGCAAGCTGAAAGCAGGGCTACTTACACTTCCGGTAGAAATTGTTATGAGGGATTCGGACATCGACAAGGCCTTGCAGGATCTGAGGATGAACAACCCAAAGTCAGAAAGCAAGCGAAGACGCATTTCCTCAGGTCCCTCACGGTCAGGAACAGCAGAGGACAAGAGGATCTAGCCATTTCTGTATTTGCCAAGGGCCAGTCCTGTAAACTTTCAGGCTGTTTTAATCAATGTATAATTGGGAGGTAGGCTCCTAAAAAGCCTTTTTTTAAAAAACTGGGGGAGGAATATGGGTAGAGGAACGGGGAAATCAGAGGACCCCTGCAGCATGTAAAAAGGCACCTGAGATGGCTTCATAACTACTTTATCTTGAGAAATTCTCTGCTTGGCTTTAAACACAATCAAGATAAACATAACATGAAAGAATTATTCACTGATATCCAAATGTAGAACAAATGTTCCTGATTGAACAGTTGGGGATGAGTGGCGTTTATCAGACAATGAAGAAAAAACTGCTGAGAAAATTCTGGGGAGGGTCCTATTGTGCTTTGTTTTGGTTTGGGTTTTTTGAGACAGGGCTGCCCAGGCTGGCTTCAAGTTCTCTATCCTGCCTCAGCCTCCCCAGCACTGGGGATTACAGGTGTGTGCCACCACGGCTGGCTGCCACAGTGCTTTACTTCTTGTTTTCTATCATCTCTGCCTTCCCTCCTGAGGGCTGCTGAAGGCTCCAGCCTAGACCTGGGGTACCAACTCAGAGAGGTGTCTTTTACATGTTCCTCCTGCCTCAGAACTCTTAAATAGAGTGTAGAGATCACATGAGCAGCTGTCACTCCCCATACCCACCTGGGAATCGCTCTAAGCCCTGCAGTGCCCTCAGTCCGGAGCCCTGCAGTGCCCTCTATCCGGAGCTCTGTGCACTAACAAGTTGGGAACACTCACCGCGCCGCTTTGGACTAAACCAACCCTCTGGCGCGTGCCTAGAGTCGGCCTGGTTCTCAAAGTGGAAGCACAGAAGTGAGACCAGTGACATTTGCTGAGCAGTGTGTGCTCAGCATCAGTCGTACCATGTACGTGTCCACACTGCTTCCATCCACCTTGGCCTCTGCCTGAGGGATGTTGTACGCCTGTTCATCCTGCCTCCCTGACTCATGTACGCATGTGTCTATTCCTCCTGTGTTCCCCAGTCCACCTGCCCTCCTCCCATCCACTCATCCTCTCCTGCAGCCCTACATCATCTGTGCACGTACACGCATCAGTTCCTGCATCCATGTTTCCGGTATCTACCCACCCACCCGTTCTCCACCCTGAGTCATCAAGGCATTCTGTTGTCCATCAAATGAGATCTGGGACTTCCTTCATGCAAACACTGGGTTAAAATGGGGGGCAGAACAGCCAATTAGGGCAAAGTCCCTGATCTTACAGAGCTTACAGGCCAGACCACAAATCATAGCCACCGTGCAAGATGGGCTAAGTGTCGGATGCTTCTGTTCTCCTGGGAAGAAAAGGCTTTTGGAGTTGCCATTTACTTTCTTTCAGTGCTTTCCTATGCCTGACTACTCAACTTGAGAGTCTTGAAACACTGCTCACATGACTCTGGACGAGATCAGGATTTCAGGGATAGGACGTACCACAGGAACAGATTCTGAGTGTTTCCTCAGAGACGAGCCATGCCTCGTTACTGAGTCGTGTCTACAATGCCTGAATAGAACTCATTCTCCCAACCCCTGGGAAGACCCACCCTTCCATGAAGTAGGCAGGTCTGGTGCCTGCATCAGAAGGAAATAATTTGGTGTCATGAGGCCTTAGCCATGGACTTTGCTTTCTTGGTCCTGTCTTGGTCAGTTTCCTCATTGGTGGAACACAATACCTGACACCCATGACTCAAAGGAAGACGGCTTTATTTTGGCTCATGGTTACAGACCATGGTTGGTCAACTCCAGGACAGTAAAAGCATGGCAGAGGGGCAAGGCGGAGGGAACTGTTCATGTCATGGTGGCCCGGAAGCAGAGAGTAAAGGGAGCAGCCGGGAAGGGACGCACACCCTTTCAGGTCATGCCCATGGTGACCTGCCCCTTCCTTGCCTGTCCCTACCTCCCAACACCCAGTAAGCCACATTGCTCCATGACTCCATCGCTTTCCAAAAGCCCTGCCGATGAGCACATAAGGCCTTTGGGGGGACATTCTCCACCTGAACCACAGCTTTTCGCTAAATGACCTTATTTATTCCATCTTCCCACTGGCTTCAGGCCAGACTTCCCTCAGTGCCACTTATACACACAACCGCCCACTTGATGCCTTCATTTAACACATCCAAAATGAAGCTCTTACATATCCCTGAAGCCTGCCCACCTCTCCTTCCCCTGCCCAGAGAATGCTACCTTTGTCTACTTGGTACTCAAGGACTGCCAGCCTCTAGTGATTCCTCACTTCCCCAGCCCCGGCTTCATCTCCCAGTGAGTCCGGTCCATTCTTCCTCCTGACGCATCTTAGCCCTCTTATCTCCACTGCTACCACAACAGTCCACACCACCACCACTGTCTCCAAGCCACAGTAGCCCCTGGATCTCTCTGCTCCCATTTGTGCTCCCCTACAATCCTGCAGAGGTCTCCTCTTGTCCTTAGAAAAGCACTGGGCTCCTCCCATAACCTGTAAGGTGCTCTAGGACTAGTCCAGCGCCTTCAGATGGGTCTGGGGGGCTGAGGTCATACTGTGTTCATCGTCATACTCAGGGTCACTCGCCTCTCACTAGTGTCTCAGAAGCACATTGTTGTTCAGGGCCTGCATTGTGTGGATGATGCCAGCTCCTTAATGGCTGATAGAACACGTGTTTGCACAAATATTAAGAAATATAGCCCCCACAGATAAAAGCCCTTGGGGTTCCTCAGTTTTTATGGTGTGAAGGGCTGCCCCCCATTTTGGTACTAGGGGTTGAACTCAGGGCTGTGACAATAAGCAACATCCCAGCACCTTTTTTTCTGAAACATTCTAAGTTGCCAGGCTGGGCTTGAACGAGCAGTCCTCCTGCCTGAGCCTCCTACAGTGCTGAGTTATGGGCAGGCGCCACCGTGCCCAGCTGAGACTTTTTAAACTGGCAATGTGATTTAGCCTGGCTCTCTCCCTCACTCTCCAGGCTTCTGGCACCTGGCCTCCTTCCACTGTCTCAAACTTGTGTACATTTTTTCACCTCTGCACATACTGTCTCCTCAGACAGGCTTACCAAAGCTACACCTGGCTCCCTGTTTTCAACCACTGTCATCTTCATTTCCTCTCAAAAACTCATTTCAATCGGTAATTTTTTGTTTACTTGCTAATTGACCGCACTAGACTGATCTGCCCAGGGACCTTCTCTGTCCTCCTTATTTACAACTATGTCCAGCCTGACATATCTCAGGCACTCTACAGGTATTTGTGAAATGAATAAATGGAAGAGGCCAGGCAGGGTGCCACACACCTGTAATACCAGCACTTGGGAGGCTGAGGCAGGAGGATCACTGGTTTGAGGCCAGCCTGGGCTACATAGTGAGTTTAAGGCCAGTCTGAACTGCATGACAAGACCCTGTCTCAAAAAATAAATGAAAATAAATGGAAGAGGACAGATGGGGCTGATGGTAGGTGCAGGAGGGAAGGCACGAGGAGCAGAGGATGTGTGTGGCTCCTGGGATGAGTTACCTGCTGGGGCACTTTGAAGCGGACATAGGAGCAGAGCTGGAGCATTTCGCTCATCTCTTCCGGGGTGGATGGGATCAAGGGAATCTTCTGCACGGCTTCTGGTTCCTGCAGCTCTTTAAGCCGCTGTACAAACTGATTGTCAGTTGAATACTGAAGGCCTGTGCGGTTCAAACCAAAACAGTTTGACAGTACATCTATCTTTGTAACAACCCCATTTTATTTATGTAGGGAACTTCCAGTAACAGCCCAAAGCTAATGCATTTCAGGTTTCTTTCACCAGATTTCTTTTTAATCGGTACTTCTCTCTTTGCTCAAAGTCAAAACCATGCTTAGAGAAACAGAAAAAAAGAATCCTTCAAGATACATATTTTCGGGCCAGGCATGGTGGCACACGTCTATAATCCCAGCACTCGGGAGGCTGAGGCAGGAGGATTGCTGTGTCTTTGATACCAGCCTGGGCTACATAGTGAGTTCCAGGTCAGTCTCAACTACATAGTGAGACACTATCTCAAAAAAAAAGTATGTTTGGGTGGAGGATTTAGCTCAGTGGTTCCACTGCCTGCCTTGCAAACGCAAGGACCCAAGTTCAATCCCTGGTACCCCAAAATTTAAAAAAAAGTATTTTCATTCTGGTTACTCACACTGTGGCCTGTGACTAGGAGCACTGGAAGCCCACAAGAATCCTCCCTCAGCTTCCCAGAGTGTTATGATTACAGGTGCACACCACCATGCCCAGCTTTCTTATGGTCACTATAGAAGCCAAACCCATATAAAGACCTTAACTCCTGAGAGCGCAATTCGTGTTGGACTTAACCCTAACTTAATATCACGAAATGCTTATGGGCGTCAAAGCACTATGCACATTTTAACCACCCACCTCAGATTCTTTGTGGAATCTTAAATCAGTCTGGTAATGATTCTGCGTATCAACTATTATTTGGTTAGCGGTGTCACTAAAACGTCACATATCCTAAAGTTCACATCAAAAGAGGATGTTAAGAGACGGTCACAGCGGACACTGGCCACCTGTGTCTTCGAGGTTCACACCCCACGCCCCGTCACTCTCGGGGCTGCCTCGCCTCCTCACTCACCAGCGGGGCACACCAGACTCAGGCTGGACACATCCGACGGGTAGTAAGCAGCGTACACTCCAGCCACGTGGCCACCCATGGAGGTGCCCACCAGGTGAAAGGGTTTTTTGTTCAGCTTAAGGCATTCTACAAACTAGGAAGGGAAACGAAAGCAGCGTGGTTATCAGTGAGACAGCGGCAAATGCTGGGTGATCTCCTGGTAGAGAACCCTGTAGAGGACAGTCCGGCCGTGGACAGTGGACAACGCCGTGGACAAGGAGGGCCTGAGACTCTGCGGGCCCCATTACTGAAGTAAAGCCTCTGGTGAGTACACACTTCCCTTTACTTGGCACAAGTGACTGAGGGGACATGCAAACATAAAGCCAGTACGGATTCCCCTAATCCACAAATCAGGACGGTGCAGAGTAACTGTTTTCGGCCTTATGGCTGTATTTCTCAGTCAGGACCACTCACTTCTGCTGTCGTGCCACAAAACAACACCTAGGGGAATGACCGGGTCTGTGTTCCACTAAATAGTTAACAGGAATAGCAGGAGGCCAAAAAGCCCAAGGGCCACAGTTGGGTGAGCAGGAGCCCTCCTCTACAGCCCGTCCTGTCCAACACCACCCACTCTTCTATCCAGCGTCTAAAGAAGTTTTATCTGCCTATTATGTACAAGAAGTGAGGGTCAGCTGCTAAGGACACAGCAAAAGGCCAAAGAAATAAGGTTCCTGACTTTACTAAAATATATGGGTCAGTGGAAATGGCAGACATTAAATAAATCTCATCTGGGAAAGATACCTAATGTTAACCTGAAATTAAGAGCTGCTGAATTCTGAAATGTCTCCTGTGCTCCCATGACCTTGAAGCCCAGCTAGAGAGGGCCAGAGACAGATGCTGAAATATGTCAAAATGCAAAGCACACTCTCCCTAACCAGGCAGAGGCACCAGCAGCTGGCAAGAGAAAAATAGATCTCTGAAGAGGGAACAGCCTTGAGGAGTTCTGAACTCCTTTCTCAAGGAGCCAGGAAAATGCCTAGATTGCGTTTCTTCACAAGCAAGTGCAGGGGGCTGGGAGGAGCGCAGTCTGTAGTTCGCTGTGGCCCTAGAGCTGATGTCAGGCGGCGTCGGGCTGCCACGTCACGTGGAGCACTGTGGACAGATGTGCGGCAGGCTGGTCACGAGTCAGGGTGGGATGCTCCTGCCTGCCCGCCGGCCTTGGACATATACTGATGGACAAGACCCAGGGAGGGAAATTATGGAGGATCTTCCCGCTTACCTGATGGATCCTCTTGACCTGTCCATCGATGGACAGGTCATCCAGGGAGGAACGGGTGGTGCCCTCGTGTCCTGGCATGTCTACACAGACCAAGTGCAGGTTCTTAGGGAGGAACTGAGGACACACACACCGAGAGTCAGTATTTGGTGTGCAAAAGCTATGTGCCCACTTTTCTGGCAAGGGTGGCCCCCACTCCCCAAGTGACCTGGAAAGCCATCCCTGTATGGTTCTGGGCCTCCCACTGTTTACCCAGTTAATGTGAATAAGCACTACCATTTTCCTTATGGGGTGCAGAGAGCCCCAAAGACTAATACACAGATGAATAGGGGCTCAGCAAATGGCTGGAAAGGCGGCACAAGTGTAGGCTAGCAGGCTTACTTCTCTTGCTTTCTTTCCTTTTTTCCCCCTCTTGCTCTTTATCAGTGCTTGGCAGGTAATAGCTCTTTTCCCTCTCCCTTCCTCTTCCATAAGGCAGCTGACTCGGAACTAGAAGGATGGTCCCATGGCCCTGGCCAGCTTCAGAGCCAACAAGAAAAATGCTTCCCCAAAACCATGTCTTGTTCCATTTTGTTTTGTTTTTTGAGACAGGGTTTCACTATACAGTTCAGGCTGGTCTTGAACCCACTCTATGGCACAGGTTGGCCTTGAACTGTTTGCCTCAGCCTCCCAAGTGCTGGGATTACAGGTGTGCGCCACCGTGCCTGGCTTCACCAAAACTATGTCTGATCACCCTATGCTGGTTTCTACTTTTCTTTCTTTTTCTAATTCTTTAATGATTTTTATCCTAAAGCACCTTGTACCATTTAGAGATTACCACTTTTAACTTGGGAACTGAAAAACATCAGTAGTAACAAGTAAATATCAATCATAGAGAAGGTGAGATGCGAACAGAAAGTGAGGAATTTGTAAAGGCGTGAAGATGAATGTCCTCATAGCAGCATTTGGAAATACAAACACAGGTAACTGCAGCGTGTGTGTAAGTGTTTTCCTCTGGGTGCAGAAAATACTCAGCAGCCCACAGGTATGGTCAAGGATGTCCCTTCCAAAACTTCTGCCAGCCCCAGGCTTCACTAGCTGGTCATTCTTACCAAGTACAGCAAGCAAACCAGGGCAAAAGTAACTTGGACAATTATTTCAGAAAGCTGCCAGATCAAGACTGTTTCTCTAAATGGCTAAGCAGAAAACAGTCAGGTGTAGTGGCACAAGCCTACAATCCAAGCGCTCTGGGAGGCTGAGGTAGAAGAATGGCAAGTTTGATCCCAGCCTGGACAACTTGGTGACTTGGAGAGACCCTGCTTCAAAATAAAACAAGTCTGAAAAAGGGCTAGAGACGTAGCTCAGTGGGAAGGCTCTGGTTCAGTCCCTAGCACGTGGCAGGGGACATAGGGCAGGGGTGAGCAGAAGTACAAGAAGGGGGAAAGGGGAAGGAGTAAAAAAGGCTGTGGGGAGAGAGAGAAGAAACCTGGAGTATAAAAGAACAAAAGGATGTGAAAAGCCCAGCCATGATGACTGTGGCAATTCTGAGATGAAGCTGTGGCAAAAAAGAAACCTCCACTAAAACAAGGTGAAAAGATTTCTAAGGCGTGGATTTTACAGATAACATTCAACTCAGTCAACTCTGACGAGATCATCTGAATAAACGACTGTACTGTGTTCGTTTTCAGACTGAACTTGCACTGTGGCTCTGGGTTCCCCCTGCTTTCCGCTGTTGCTGGGCATCTCATGCACACGGAAGCCTGTCCGGCTAAGGGAGACTGGGAACTGTACCTTGACCACACTGAGCCACATGTCCTTGTGTGCAGAGAAGCCGTGGAGCATGAGGATGGAGGGCCTGTGCCCTGGCCGGCCCCGGAAGGAGTAACAGAACTGATAGTCTTCGTGGCGCACATAGCGGACTTGCATGCCCAACGTCCTCCGCCAGTACCTGGGGGAAATAAAGGCAAGACAAAAGCAGCACGCCCTTGGTAAGTGGCTTTGAGGGACTGGTCCTCTCTAGATGTCCCACTTGGTGGTGAGTCAAACACTTTTCACAGCTCTTGGCCTCTGGGATTCCCGCAGGTCTTCACTTTCCGGGAGCATTAAGAAGGGAAAGAAATGTTTTGTTCTTTTCTTTTTTGGTAGCACTGAGAACTGAACGCAGGGTCTTGGCAATGAGCTACATCCTCAGTCTTTTAAAAATCTTAAACAGTCACTAAGTTGCTAAATGGCCTGTGTTGGTCTTGAACTTGCAATCTTCCTGCCTCTGCTTCCCAGAATGCTATGATTACAGGAATGCACCATCACGCCTAGCTAGGAGTGTTTTCTTAAGTATGTCTCTAGCAACCTTGTGTTAATATATAATTCTAGACACTCTGAGAGTGTTAACTTCTTTCTTAAGAACCTTGTGTACCCGTCCTCTGGCTTTTATTCCTTACAACATATGGTAGCTGCTTGAGAGCTCAGCTTCTGCTGGTTACGTAAGACTTGGCAGTGCTGCAGTTTGGCCCCATATTGATTTCAATGTGAAACTTCTATCAAACTGAAGAGGCCAGGGATTTAGCGCAGTGGTACTATGCCTGCCTCATAAACGCAAGGTCCTGAGTTCGATACCGGTACCAAAAAAAATAACTGAACTCAGCCGAGGATGGTGGCATGCGCCTATAATCCCAGTACTCAGGAGGCTGAGGCAGGAGGATTGCGGCAAGTTCAAGGTTAACCTGGGCTACACAGTGAGTTCAGGGCCACCTTGAACTACAACAGGAGACTCTGCCTAAAACAAACAAGCAAGCAAACAAACAAACTTAACTCTGTTCATGAAGAATCTCCCCAAAATGAAGGATAATTCAGAGACTCACTTTGGGATATATTTTACACTAAAGAAGTAGCCAAATCTTGTAAAAGCAGATAACCTACACCAAATGATTTCAACCAATTGTATAAACTAAGGGAAGAAGGAGGTAAGGATATATATTCACATTTACCTGTATCTGCACACAAAAAATGTGGGAGAACACAAGACAGTAATAAGTATTTGAGTAGAGGTGGAGAACAGTGTAAGGGGCAGAGAGAGAAGAGACATGGGAGAGATATTCTGTGTTCTTTTTGATACTTTTTCAATCACTTCTTTGCCATTTCAAAATATTAAAAATAGAACTGTCTAGTTCAAAAGCTCACCAAATGAGGAAGCAAACATTTCAAAATTCTAAGTCATAGGATCACAACGTGAAGCTTGTTCTTTCACTCAGATTCAGCTTGTTCATTTACTGACTATGTGATCTTGCGCCTCAACTCCCTCATGGATGATACAGAGAAGAGTTGTACTCCACTAAGAACAAACACAGCAAAGACTAAAAGGACAATCCACATACAAATATTGGGTAGGTAGTAAATGGCAGACAGTACTGCTACATAAAAACAATTCTATCTTTGTAGTATATCATTTGCCAAAATTCAAGGGAAAATTTAGGAGAATATTTGCAGTAAATATGACAGCCATACTTGATATCTTTATCTTTGCTTTTTCCTCCCCCTTCTTTCTTCTTTGTGGTGCGAGCAATCAAACCCAGAGCATTCTGCATGATTGGCTAGTGCTCTACCACTACGCTAAGCCTTACCCTAGCCAAAGACCGATATCTTTAAAGTGTGAAAAAGATCACAAGGCCAGGGATGTAGCTCAGGGGCACCGCACCTGCCTGGTCCCAAGTTCAATCCCAGCACGGAAAAAATAAATTAAATTAAAAAGTTCACAGGGACAGGGATTTAGCTCAGTGGTTCCACTGCCCGCTTCACAAGCGTAAGGTCCCAAGTTCGATCCCCGATACTGGAAGGAAAAAGAAGTTCACAAATGGATATGGATATGACCTATGCTAAAAACACTGGGAGCCCTGCAGTTTAATACTAGGAAAAATAAACGGAAGAGATATTAATGATGAACAAATATAGGAAACACGAACAAATTAATAATTAAAGATATAATTATCACACCAAGATATACCCTTTTATGTACTTCCAAATTCGAAAAAATTTCTTAGACCAATATAATGTTGAACCTTTATATGAAGCAACCTGGTAGTAATGATCAAGAGTCAGGGCCAAGGATTTGGCTCAGTGGTTCCACCGCCTACCTCGCAAGCACAAGGACCCAAGTTCAATTCCCCATAGCAAAAAAAAAAAAAAAAGATCAAGTCTTTAAAATCCTAATGGGCTCGGAACACAGCACTTGCCTATATGTGTGAGGCCCTCAGGGGCACTTCAGGAAATTAAACCAAAAAAAATCTTATGCTCTTTGGCCTAGTAATTATTCTTCTATGAATAATTTGTCGCAGAAAACTTGAGAAAACAAATTTTAAGATACCCAGAGCAGTGTTGTTTAAATTAGAAAAAAAACAAATAATGTATTAAACTTAGTGACCATTAATTAAAAATGTGTAACATAAATCACAATATATCCAGACACGTGTTATTTTACTGTTGAAGAGGTTTTCAAAGAATATTCAGTAACATGGAAAAATATTAATGATGTGATGTCAAATGAAAAAACAGGACCCAAGTCTTTCATACTACTGATTCCAATTGTACTAAAACATTTTTAAATGCACACAGAAGAGACGGGTGAAAAGCAGCAGAATGAGGCGAGGCGTTGAAGAAAATGATTCAAGCGGTTATGGGCAATTTGCATTTTCTTTGTGTTACCCTTTTGTCATCTTCAAATTCTCTACACCTCTCACAGAGCACACAGTATGAGGTCACAGAGGAGCTGAAAGACCTCGTGGAAAAGGTGGGAGCTAAGCTGTTATGGACACCCAGAAGGTAGCAGTGGGAAACCATGGGGAAGGTGAACCAGGAGGTAGAAGCAGCAGAGCAAGGGCCTGGGGGACCACAGGTGTGAGCTGAACCCAGAGTGAAGGGAGACAGGCTGGGAAGTCAGCCAGAGTGCCAGGCTGAGGAGCTGAGGACTTCGTCACCAGGCAGGGCTACCCAGTACTTTCATTTAATTGGTGTATTCACTGGAAACCTCTGCTTACAGCTCTGAACCAATGAGATGGGGGATGGCAAATACCTCAAATGATCCCTTCAGTGAACAACTGGGAAGAAGACTTGATGCTACAGGCCCAGCTGAAACACTGTAAAAGAAGACCCATGGCCCAGATGGAAAAAACCAGAATGCAACTTCTCCAGGTTAAACACAATCTCTAACTCAGTCAGAGAGTAGCCCTACTGGCAACCTTACAGACAGAAAAGTCAGAATTAAGGTGAGATAAATCAGTGCCTCAGGAGCAAGATCTTTTACAAACAGTACAAAAGTCAAATGCTCCTATTTCAGGACAGAAGTCACTGAGGGCTCTATTGACCTAAATTGAGAACTCCTAAAGAAGGAACTTCTCCAGTGCCCAGAGTCGTTGTTCTACAAGTTTTCCTTCCAGTTAAAGGAAAACTCTGAAGAAAGTACTTGCAGATTTTTTTTTTTAGTAGTGGTAAAATAAACATGGTATAAAATGTACTCTTAATGTATAATTCAGGGGCCTACCTGTAGCTTGCTGGCAGAATTCAGTTCCTTGCGGCTGTAGGACTGAGGTTCCTGTGCCCATGCCAACTGGTGGTTGAGGACTATCTGCTTCCTAAAAGCCACCTGCGTTCCACACCCACCTCCCCTCACCAAAGTCAAAGGAGCAACAGCACCGAGTCCTCCCTGTGCTCTGCACATCTCTGCTTTTAAAGGTCATGGTGGTCACAGGAGACCCACCAGATAATTGCCCTGTTTTAAAGTCCACTGCATAAAAATAACACATTACTGTAGGTAGCGCTGCTGATAAAATGATGAAATGCTGTGTTATCGCAATCATAGGTGTAGGAATTAGGGAGGGGTGTCTTCAAGGAGCCAGTTTAGTAACTCTGCCTACCAAAGGTGTCGAAAGGTTTTCTCCAGATGGCTATCTAGTTAACACAGAGTACTTTCAGAAATCAAGAGACTATCTATCTATATGCTTCTATTATCAGATTCTCTAGTTCTGCTGGCCTAGTTGTCTTCCTCACTGCCAATTTCACACTGACTTGACTTTTGTAATATTGTAATTAGTCTCAATAGCTGGAAATATAAATCATCTTTGCTCTCCTGGGAAATTGTCTTAATTGGTCCTCTGCTTTTTCTTATAAATTTCAGAATCAGCTTATTAAATTCTATCAAAAGGCTGGGTACAGTGTGGCACATACCTGTGGCCCCAACCACTCCAGAGGCTGAGGCAGAAGGACTGCAATTTTGAGTCATCTTGGGCAACTTAGCAAGAACCTGTCTCAAAAGTTTTAAAAAAGATTTTCTTTCTCATTTTTGAGACAGGGTCTCTCTCTTGAGAGTCCAGGCTGGCCTTGAACTCACTATGTGACCCAGGCTGGCTTTGAACTGGTGGCAATCCTCCCGGTGGTAGGGTTATAGGCATGTGCCATCACATCCAGTTTTCAAACAGAAAAATTAAAAGAGACTGGGGATGTGGTTCAGTGATGATCACCCCTACATTCAGCAGCCAGTGCTGCAAACAAACAAGAAAAAAATTGTATAAAAAAGAAACATGTTATAATATGCAGATGACTGCAGGGAGGTCTGGTATCTGTATAGCAATGTCTTCCAACTGGCAAATATTATATTCCACTAATTCAGTCCTTTATAATTTCCCCCATAAATACTTTGTAGTTTTCCGTGCAGAGTTTAATTTTTTTTTTTTTTTTTTTTTTTTTTTGATACCAGGGATTGAACTTGGGCCCTTGCACTTGAGAAGCAGGAGATGAAATCACTGAGCCAAATCCCCAGCCCTCGATATTATTCTTTATAATATTATGAGTTCATTTATAATTATCGATGCCATGGTAAAAAACACCATCGAACTTTTCATTTTTCATGTGTTGCTGGAAATATAACCAGTTTTTGGTAACTGATCTTGTATTAATCAATCTAGCCAAATTTACTTATTAATTCTAACAAATTATTTGTAGGTTCTTTCAGATGGTCTATGTGCACAACAATCCTGTCATCTGCAAACAATGCTAATTTTATTTCTTCATTTCTAAGTCATATCCCTTTTACTCTTAAAATTATTTACTACACTGTTTTATCCTGATTTCACTACTGAGTTTCTTCGTAAAACAAAAGACTTGGAAAATCTCACTCTTTTCCATCATATTAACAGGCTCAGTATTTTCCTCACAGAATGAAAATCGGAACTACTGCCAACAGTGAGGAAGCCTCTCATCCAGTCACAGCATCCCCCACTGTGCCTCTGCTGACTCACAGGGAGGCATCTGGTACCTCCTACAAGAGCAAGCACTGTCTGATCGCCAGGGAAATGGGCTGGCCATGCTCCAGGGACACCCAGACCCAGAGAGAGCTACTCTGGGGACTGGCTGTAGCTTGAGGACCCCAGGGTTCAGCCCTCAAGGAGTTGGGAAGAGTTCAAGGGAGCCAGGAGTGCACAGTGAGGGCTGCACCCAGCCCTTATGCTTTTTCAATAGGGCAGCAGGGGCAGGGTGAGCAGGGTGGGCAGGGCTACCTCTCCTGCCTGCAGTTCCTGTTTGCCTGGCCATCCTTAAAATTAACCTGATGTACCTAGTTTTGTAAGCTGATCCCACTGCTGGCCAGAAAGCTTTCAGGGTACCTGTGAATAAGGGAGATAAGTGACTCACGGTAAAGCTGTTCATCCTATGAGTACTGTGTAAATGTTACTTGCAGTGAGGTGACTCAAAGGAAACTAGCTATGCTTTTCTGTGAGGTAGAGGGAGCAACTCAGGATTTCTGACAGCTTCTTCAAAGGCACTCTGGGTGCTACTATATAGTCATAATTATCGATGCTACTACTATAGTCATAATCCCGCATGTTACAGTGCCACCTGGCATGATCTGAAGGGGTTTCTAGGACTTCCATCCTGGGGTTCTCTTCTTGGCCTGTGTGTCTAAGTTCACAAAAACATTGTGTCTATCTTCCAGCCGCCACTCTGAGCTGGGTGGTCAGCCTGGGAAGGCTTTAAGATCATAGGCACTGAGCTGGGCCACGGTGCTGGGACAGTGCCATTGAAGTAGGAATACACCTCTGGCCTCCCCAGATAGGGGCCACCGAGGAGGCAGGCCCAGAACTCCTGTGACCAGTGCTGCAGCGGTGATGGCACATATGCAGCTGGAGCTTGGCTTCCTCAGTGAAGGGGGTCCTGGGTGACCCTCCGAAGGGTCACCATCCCACCCACCCTGAGAGGGACGAAAGAGTGAAAGGCGAAAGTCACTTCTGTTCTGTTAGCTTCTTTTCAAGGACCAGAGCCCATCGGGTTCGTGACAACCTCTAGAAGCACAAGCCGCCTAAAGAAGGGTGGTAAGGGGCACCTTGGCAGGCCTGTGGGCTCCTCCTGGGTGCAGCAATGCCTGCTAACTCCTCCAGTTCTGGTCACATCTCCCTGGGCTCCCTACAGAGCAGCCAGGTCTGTTGCAGTATTCTCCTCACCACAGGGTGGCAGGGGTGACTTTCTGTAGTAAGTGAACTGTGTGGAAAGTCAGGGAGGCGCAGGAGGAGAAAGCACTACGGGGAGGAGGGCTCTGTGCAGGGCGCTGTGCCTTCCTGCGCTCTACACTCGGCACCAAGGAGAACTCGGACTCAGGCCTTCTGGAGCAACAGTATCTAGGCTAGAATACACTGGACTCTTTAATGTCATTGTGCCTAAGTTCAGTTATTTATATTAACTTACTATGCATGGCCCATATGGCAACCTTTCCACTTATGGCAGTGGAATTTTATATCATCTTTCTTTTAAATAAATAGATTGGGCCGGGGATTTAGCTCAGTGGTGCTGCCACCTGCCTCACCAGCGCAAGGTCGTGAGTTCAATCCCCGGTACAAAAAATAAATAAATAAATAAATTAATTAATTAATTTAAGGTTTCAAGAGAAGAGACTTACTCTAAGGAAAATATAAAAGTCCAGGTAGTATGCAGATAAAACAAGAATGACGGTGATACAAGGACAGATACTTTGGAAACTTTTTTTATCGCTTTACTAAGTAATAGTTCTAGAGCATCTCAAAAAGCATGCTACACATGTCCTACACCAATGCTTCTGGTGTTTCCAATTTATTTTTCATTGGACTCACTATGTAGCCCACGCTGGCCTCAAACTCAAGCAAACTTCCTACCGCAGCCACCTGAGGACTGGGATTACAGGTGTGTGCCCTTCTGCCCAGCTCAACTTTTCTGTTCTTCTTCAAAAATACAAATACATGTATTTTTTATCAATATCAACTTTTCTTTATGTTTGAAATATTTCATAATAAAATTTCAAAATATTTGTCAACAAAAAATAGGACAAGCACCGTTGACAATATTATCACACTCTTGAAAATATCAGTTACATAATTAACTTACCAGTAGTAGATTCTTATCAGTGCTGAAGGCCACAGGAGAAAGGAGGCTACGAAGGCCAAGATGGGGATGGCCAGTGTCCCGCCAGCGATCACAAACATGTTCACCACATCAAGGTCCATCTGTGCGTTAGAATGGCTGACGCCTGAGGGGGCCGGAGAGAGACGGTATCAATGCTGTCTCCTCAGACAGGTGAAGAAGGAGAGGGGAAGAGAGGATGAACAGATCAGGAGGGAGCAGCAGCACGCGCCTCAGGAACTAAACGGCCCCATGAGTCAAGGTAACGGGGATCCTTTGGAGGTCGTGGAGTTGAAAAGACAACACTACAACTACAAGGCACACGTTGGCGTAACTGGGGAAACCTGCGTGCAGACCGTGCTGGGTAACTCTTCCGTCACCAGCGCCAAGGGTGATGATGACACGTGGCTGTTCTCAGGAGACGGCGCAGAAGTGCAGAGGTATCCACTGTACAGACGCAGACGTACCCACGACTCACCTTCAGAGGTTCAGGAGAGAAAAGGCGACGGGCACATGTGTGTTGGGAGGAAGAAACAAGGCAACTACGGTGAAAGGTCAAGCACTAGTGATTCCAGGGGCAGGGTATATGGTACGATTCCTCTACTTCCTACAGGTTTTTAATTTTTAAAAGAGGACAGAAAACCCTAAAGGAATAAATGAAAAAATACACAGGAACACACATGAAAGCTTGTATCTCAGAGTATCACTGGATGGATATACAAGACACTTGTAATAATGGTTACACCTGAGGCAGGGAACTAGCGGGCTTGGGGTCAGAGACGGGCAAGAGATTTGCCTTTCACTTTTTAAATGTTTTGAATTATTTATCATGTATAATTTAAAAATAAATAATATACAATAAGCAGCTGGGAGGAAACGAGCTTGTTTCTCTTTCTAGAATTAGTGTCTTAAGGGTAGGGACAATCATGGTTCTCTCTCGTGTACGTGACTGCATTTCACAGAACAAGACACACACACGTGACACATGGATCGATGAAAAGCAGTGACAGTAGCTCAGTGGTGGTACATTTTTCCTGTAGTGTGCAAGTCCCCCCGTTCCATTCCTAGCCTGCCAGCCAAAACATCAAGTTACAAAATGGGCTCGATTCTGTTGAATTGTCTGAGGGGGAAACCATTCCCAAGGATGCTATCAGAGACCTGACATTTTTCCTCTTTCAGTAACCACAAAACTCCCCCGAGGAGTCACCTGTGAAATGCTGGGCACAATGTACACTGCTAACAGCTTCACCATCAGGGTGGCAAACACACTACCACGTGAAGGGAATGTGTACAGATCTGAGCATCGTGGACCTCACATGAACTGACGAACACGGGGACCGTCAGCTTCAAAGAACTTCCGCGTCACCTTAAGTCCTTAAGGAGTGTGAAGGGCCATGGAGAATTCTGAATTCTGAGCTGCAGGAAGTTAATTAGATGATGATGCCTTGGAACAAAAATGAGAACATTTTATGCCCAAAGCCATCCACAGCACAAGCTCTGGCACTGGAGATGGCAGCCCTGAAATGAAGGTATGACCACAAAACAGTGAATGCCCCACTTTGTGGGTGCCTGCTGTGGACGTATTCAGTTTTGAGGAAAGTTCCATCGGGTTCCATTCTATAGTTAACAGCAGAATAAAGTCTCTTTTACACATGATCAATTTAGCAAGTTGGACTTGCTACAGAGAACCCACACATTCTTGCTGATGAGGTCAAGTAGAGCTAAGCTGTCACTGAAAAAACTGAAATGCTTTCCGATCACAATGTTTTCTAAATAGATAACGAGTGGAATTATTCCAAACTCTGCAACATCCTTCACTCTAAAAAAAGACTTGACTCAGCTTCCCTTTAAAAAGGCAGCTTGTCAGCCCTGCTGCTTACTAACAGAATATTCTATGTGCCCACAGACGAGGCTGGGGTTAGAAAGACCGAAGCCCTATGAACCAGGAACCATCAGCGACCAAAGTGAGAAGGGTTGTAACATGCACTGTCCCAAGGTACAGGTTCCATGGAACTGAGAGCTTGCCAGATGACTTTCATGAGCAAGTAAACATTAAGTAATGCTTCAGGGACCTAGAGTCGGCAAGTACTGACTGCACTCTCTTCAGTTTCAGTCCTGCTCAGATCAGAGAGCAGCTCTCAGACAGGCCCGGTGGCACACGCCTATAATCCTAGCGTTCTGGGAGGCTGAGGCAGGAGGAAGGCAAGTTTGGGCCTAGCCTGGGCAAGTTAATGACTCTGCAAGATCCTGTCTTAAAATTAAAAATGAAAAAGGGCTGAGGATGTAGTCTAATGTGAAGGCCCCAGATTCAATCCCCAGCACCCCGCATCCACACACACGAGTAACCCTCACGATGACTGTCTTAAGCAGCTCTCTTAGGGCCTTCGGGAGGGATCAGGTTATTAGTAATACTGTTCCTTTTCATTTATTTTATGGATGCCTTCAAATTATGTAGGGATGTGAATTAATTCAGAGTAAGTTTAAGCAAAAAGGAATTAAAGAAAAGTGCTAAGAGGTGACACATGGACCCAAAAAGCAGGGAGACACGGTGTGTGGCTGGCTGCCACTGAGAGGCGATTCAAGGGACTGGAGGGCACGGGGCTGGGGCCATGCCAGGTAGCCTGCTGTCTTCTGCCTGGCTTTTGCACACATCAGCCATGTGAGCTTGGTCTCCTCACCCATTAAATAAAAACATTCACGTCTTCTGTTCTCTACTACTCTGTCTTTTCTGAAATTATGCCAGACACTTACAGTAGGTTCTGGCTTGCCCTTCCAAGAATCTTGTCCTCTGTTATGTTTTCCCAGTAGCTAAAACAGTACCTATCAAATATCTGGTGCTTCCAGGTATAACAATTCCCAACTTGAAACTATACTACAATGCCACTGTGATAAAAACAGCATGGTACTGGCAAAGACATAGGCCTGAGGATCAGTGGAACAGACTGGAAGACATAAAAACAAACCCAGATGTACTCAGCTACCTCATCTTTGACAAAGGAGCTGACCATCCTCAGTGGAGGAAAGATAGCCTCTTTAATAAATGGTGTTGGAAAAACTGGATGTCAACCTGCCACAGATTAAAATTAGACCCTTATCTTTCGCCATGCACTAAATTAAAATCCAAATGGATTAAAGATCTAAATATTAAAACAGAAACATTAAACTTGCTGGAAGGTAAGTTAGGCAGAACTCTGGAAGACATTGGTATAGGAAAAGACTTTATGAACAAATCTTCAGTAGCACGGGAACTAGCAGAAAGAATCAACAACTGGGATCTCATCTTACTAAAAAGCTTCTGTACTTCAAAAGAAACCATTAGCAGAACTAAGAGACAATCTACAATGTGGGAAAAAATTTTTACCAGCTGTACCTCAGACAAAGGACTATTATCAAGGATATATAAAGAACTCAAAACAATCAGTCCCCCCAAATATAAAGACCCGATCCAAAAATGGGCATCCGAAATGAACAGACATTTCTCATACAAAGAAGTGAAAGCAGCAAGAAAATATATGAAAAAATGTTCCACATCACTGGTCATTCGAGAGATGCAGATGAAAACAACACTGAGATTCCACCTCACCCCACAAAGAATGGCTGCTATCAAGAAATCACACAATAACAAATGTTGGCGGGGTTGTGGGGAGAAAGGAACCCTCCTCCATTGTTGGTGGGAGTGCAGACTAGTGCAACCACTATGGAAATCAATATGGAGATACCTCAAAGAGCTTGGACTGGAGGTTCCATTTGACCCAGCCATCCCTCTGTTGGGTATCTTTCCAAGAGAACTAAAAGAATCATATCACAGAGAAGTATGTGCACCCATGTTTATAGCGGCACAGTTTGTAATAGCTAAATCTTGGAAACAACCTATTTGCCCATCCGTTGGAAACTGGATAAAGAAGTTGTGGTTTTTCTATAAAATGGAATATTACTCAGCCATAAAGAGCGAGAAAATAGATTCATTCATAGGAAAATGGATACATATTGAAGATATACTCCTAAGTGAAATAAATAAGGCACATATGTGTAAATACCAAATACTTTCCCTGGTGTGAATAATCTGCAATAATACATAAGATCCTAATAAGATTACTGACATTTAGAAATAGGAAGAAAGGAGCTAAAGGCGTAGGGAAGGTGGGATGGGTAGCGGAAGGGTAAAAAGGGAAAAGAAAAAAATGTGAGATAATGAAAAGATGAAATTAAAGTGTTTGTAGATGGGGAGGGGAGGAGGGGGTGAAGGGAGGGCAGGGGTAAGGGGAAAAACTGAGAATCGAGACTTGTCATGTAGAGGTACAAGATCCCAACAATGAATGTAACTGTACTGTATCCCTAAAATGTACCAAAATACTCAATTAAAGCTGAAAAAAAAAACAAAACAAATATCTGGTGCTTAATAACACTCACTGCTTACTTAGCAAACTGGAAAAAAAACAAAACAAAAAAACCACTCTTGGGGCCAGGGATGTAGCTCAGTGGCACAGCACCTGCCTAGCAAATGTGAGGTCCTGAGTTTGGTTCCGAGTACCAAGAAAACCCAAAAAACAAAAAACAAAAAAACACTCTTTTTATTACAGCTGTGCTGCGGCACAGTGTGAAGCACAGCAATGTCAGGGAGGGACTGACCACAACGGCACCACACCACATGCCCAGACGGAGACGCCTCGGCCTCCTCTGCCACCTGTTGACACCCAAGCTGCACAGCAGGGAGAGGACTTTGTTGCTGAATGCAGGGACAAAGATTCCTTGGATAAAGAGTATTATGTCATCTGATCCCGATAAACAGTGCAGTTTAGTCTGGGGTTAGGAGTCAGAATGTTTCACAGTTCTCTTTTAATGTCCCTGCTGACCGAGTTCCAATCTTGAGTTTTCAGAGTACAAAGCAAAAGTCCAAGAATAAACAGAATGTAGAACACAATCAGAAAACACTGCCTTTCACTAGCCTAGAGCCCATCCAATCTGACAAGCTGGAGTCCTGCTCCCTCCAGAATAATGTTGACACAGAAGCAATCACAGAAACTATAATGACCATGGCCATCACCACACACAGCCAAAGACCAAGAGTGATCATTTCCACACCAGCATGCCAGGCCCTGCATGGGTTTGCACACATCCTTCTGTTTGATCTCTCACAGTACTGGGAGTGGGACACATTTCTCCTGTTTTGAAATGCAAAAACCGAGGCTTTAGAAGTTACAAATGTCCCCAAGTTAATGACCCACATTTCCACACAAACCTGTAGGTAGATCTGTGTTCATGCTACATTTGCCTTTGTGATGTTTTTCTCTGACAGATACTTATTATATATTATTTATGCATAAGGCGCAGGGGTCTATTTGCTCATGGACAGGTTCTAGACTTCTTCAAAACCGTTTCAGCAGCAAGTAACACATTAACAACCTTACGAGTCACCAGTTGGCTTACTCCTCATTCCTGTCGGTGTGCTATTATAACTATACAGGACTGCTGATAAGTTTTTCTTTTTTTGTGCGCAAACAAAAATTCTCTCCCTTGAAAAACTAAAGCCATTTAATTTCGTTGGAGCCAGCTATTCCCGCTTCTAGGGATGTCCCTGAAAGATGATTTAGAGACATATTACAGTGATGACTGCACACCCACGTTTCTAGAGGCATAATTCATAATAGCCAAATCCTGGAAGCAGCCTACGTGTCCACCAACAGATTAATGAATAGAGAAAGTGTGGCAGGTGGACACTGCTGTGCCATAGAGAAAGATAAACGTGAGTGATGTGTAGGAAAATGGATGCACCTTGAAACCATAATGTTAACTGAAATAAGTCAGACACACAAACTTAAATATTACACGGTTTCTCTTACACGAGAAACCCGAAATATAAATAAAGATCAAAATAAAAGAGATAATAGGAAGTAGGGAGACAGGTCTTTCTCAGATGGAAAGAGGATCAAGGGAAGGAGGGAGATGGGAAGGAAAGAGGATGAAAGAAAAAGGAATTAAGATGTGTTATGATGTTTAATCTCCAGTACTTAAAAAAGTCAAATGTGTAAAGAGAGATCTACAATGTAATGTTTTTGGTTCCTCTGTAGAAATATCAGATGGCTGAAGGTAAAGAAAAAAAGATGTTATATACATGTACAAACTCCATACAAGGAATGTAATCATCATGTACTTCAAACATGGACTGTGAAAAAATTTTAAAAGTTCTCTCTACAGTGTTTCCTCAGAAAGATGCTATGTTCCTGAAATCTAAGTGTAATGCCCTACTTAATGGCTTCCTGGAAAAAGTAACTAGTTCCTCAAAACCACTATGTAATTAAAGAGCAACAGCAAAAACAAAGCAAAAACAAAAACAAAGAACATGCAACAAGGTGAAGATTCTCTTGTGTGGAATCCCCATGACCAATAGGACAGAATAACTTGAGAAATGGGCTGTTCTAATTCCTTATCATCTCTGTCTGTGTCATCACAAGGGACAAGTTACACGGAAATTTCCAAACAAGCAGTTAAGGCTGCTCGGTAATCACTGCCAATGTGACAAAGCCTCCAGGGTTGCTGTCCAGAGATGCTCACCTCTGACTTCTTCGTGGCCTTCTGGTTTCAATGCTCCTCTGGCTGAGCCTGTTCTTCCTCTGCAAGTTGCAGCTCCAGCAGCCCTGCCAGTGAAGTGAGCCATGGCTGAACATACCTGGCCAGGGACGATGATGCCCTCAACCTCTCTCCGATGTTCTCATGATGCTCTCCACCCCACCCACACATTCCCACAATCCTATTCTCTTCTTGTTTCCATCCTGCACCACTCCCACTTGCAGGGAATTAAAAAACCAACACACCTGGTAGGACCTTTCCAGACTTTTCCGAATGTGGGACCCTATACTGCCTCAGAGGCGTCTCTCCCTACTTCTCCTGATTCAGAGTTGTGCCAACGGCACTCCTGTCAACCTGGCCTCCCAGGTGCCAATGCATTTTCCGGTCTTTCCCCCCTCTCCACTCCAGTTACACAGTGGTGGAAAAGTACCAGTCCCCAAATCAACTTGTCTGTGTCTAGACAAACAAATTAATTTGAAGTAAACAAAATCCAAATTTCAATTCTTAGTTACTCAGCTACATTTCAAATGTTTTACATCCGCTTGCAGACAGGAGCTACCATAGTGGGCAACCTAGCACTGGGGATTTATACCTAAGACCTCTTGCAAGCAATCGCTGAGGCCAGGTTGGGTCAACACTTACTAGGAATGTTGCCTGGGAAGAAAAGTCCCATCAGGAGTAAGACTTTCTATCAGGCATACAGAGCACCATCTGGACTTCCTCTGCAGCACACAAGGGCTGGCCCTCATTTCCCTGTTTCTGTTTCCACAAAGGCTTCTCTTTCATACACTGCATCTCTCACCACCAGCTCTAGGAGCAATCATTCCTCTTTATTCCAGGTCCAATGTTCAGCAGATAAAATGTGAACCATCCCACGTGACCCCACTCATCTTCCCAGGACAGATTTCCCTGACTGCCTGCACCCCACTACCCAGTCCCCGCCCCATGCCAGCCCTGTCCTCCCTCCCACTGCTCCCCTCCGGTGGCAAGCCATGCCGTCCTAGCTTCCTGATGAACTCCTCTGCCTCCCCAGATCACCGTATCTCCAGGCTCCCTTCGCATCGGAGCCCTGCTCCTGGCACAGTCTGTAAGAACTGTTCCAGAGGAGTTGGGGGTATACAGTAGTTTAAAAACCTGCAGGCCCCTGCCTTCTCCAGTAGTCCTAGTGACCAGGGAATTGCCCACCCGGTGGACCGCAGAGGGTATCAGGAGCTCATCCAGGCAGCAGCCCCAGGCTCCAGCGTGCCTGGCTTTGTTGGGGTAATCTGCAGTGTTATAAACCCATACTTACTCGTCAAGGAGCACAGCCTTCTTTCTCAACTGCTCCTGGCTCTGACAGGAACTGAAAATGAGATTCTAGAACAGAAATGAAATGACAAAGCATTAATTCATCTGCAGGAATGTGAATGAAGTGCTAACAGCCAGCCAAACCGCTGTGCATGGAACAGAGCACCCTCCTTAGCACACGGCAGCATGCATCCTGAGGCTCTACAGTCGGCTTCTGGCCCAGGCCACCTCCCCAATCGGGCAAAAGTGCACAGAGGGCAGGGCATCTCCGATAGTGAGTCGGAGTCAGGAAGGGACACAGGAGGTCAAAAGAAGATGAGAGATCGAGCACAGAACAGACAGTGCAACAAGGGTGGGGGGCAGCTGTGCTCCGAGGGGCTTAACAAGGACGCTCAAATAAAGGCACAGGGTGCTCCTTCTCCACTGGACGGGGGCTTTCCTGGTGCTGTATTCTGGAAGGAAGGGGAGAAGGCCACCAACCAACAGGCCAAGGAGGACAATGCTGCTCAGTAGTGAGCAGAGAACGGGGCTGCACGCTCACAATCAAGGCTGGGCAGAAGCAGAAAGGAAGCAGCAGGGGCTCCGAGCAGGAGCGTCAGGAGACAGGCAAGGGAAGCACAGCACAGAAGTCCAGACCTGGTAAGGCAGATCAGTGCAAAGCATGAGAAACAGAACCATGCAAGGTCCGGAACAAACCGGAAGAACTATTTTAAAATATCTCCAAGGGAAAGGCCTTTCTCAGAAAGATATAAAAACAGAAGGCATAACAAAACATCATTATTACAAAAGTAACAATGACTGCATACATTTGTCTTTTAAACATTTACTTGGAGGACCAGCATGAGCTCAGGGGCTTTAATCCCCAGCACCCCTGTCACACACACACACTAAAGCCAAATATATCAGAGCCACAGGACTTGTCTCCTTAATGTACGAAAGGTTCCTACAATTCAAGAACCAAACCCAGCAGACAAATAAGCAAATGCTCTGAATAGATAATAGCAGAGGTCTGGGGATTCAGCTCGGTGGTTCCAACGCCTGCTTTGCAAGTGCAAGGTCCCAGGTTTGATCGCCAGTACCAAAAAAAAA